GGTGACCTCTGTGGCGGCTTTTTCCAGATCTCATCGTGCAGGCCAAGTCTGGCACTGGCAAAACCTGCGTGTTCTCCACTATCGCCCTGGACGCGGTGCTGCTGGAGAGTCCCGCCACGCAGGTGAGGCCCGGCCCCTGCTTAGCGGTGCGCGGGAAGAGGCGCTGAGGCGAGGGGGGCGGGGACACGACACTTGGCTTTGTGAGAGGGAATCGCTCTTGGGAAAACGGTATTGTCCCCTGTGAGACTAACTATTTTAAATCATCCGGACTGGATGAGTGGCTTTTTTGAGCCGTTCTGCAGCTTTCAGGTCTAATCCTTGGCCCTTACAGATTCTGATCTTGGCTCCCACGCGTGAGATTGCTGTGCAGATTCATGCTGTCATCACAACGATTGGAATAAAAATGGATGGCTTGGAATGCCACGTGTTCATTGGAGGGACTCCTCTGAACCAGGACAAAATCAGGCTAAAGAAGTGCCACATAGCAGTTGGCTCCCCAGGTATGGGAGTGCTTCGCTGTGCGTCGGACAGTGGCTGATACCTCAGGGTACAGTAGCTGGTGCTTTTGCAATCTGGGTTTGTTTTCTAGAAAAATGGGGTAGTCTTAAAAGGCAGTGCCAGAGACATTTAGACCATGTATTTTTAGTGAGATATTGTTCTAAGTATGTACTTTTTAAGGCTTATTAAAATTTGGTGTGGTGTTTTTTTTTTTTAATTACAAAATGCTTTATTAGAAACTTTCAATTAGTATTTTTCAAGTTCCTTTTATGTTTTTCTTCATATGTAGGTCGAATAAAACAGCTCATAGAGTTGGACTACTTGAATACGGCCAGTATCCGGCTTTTCATTCTTGATGAAGCAGACAAGCTTCTAGAAGAAGGCAGCTTTCAGGAACAAATCAAGTAAGAAAACCACTTCCCATACGCTTATGGGTAGCTTAGATGTTTGTTAGTCACTTCCATTTTTTTTTTCCTCTCACAGTTGGATTTACTCTTCGCTACCAACCAATAAACAGATGCTTGCTGTTTCAGCTACTTACCCTGAATCCTTAGCTAATGCTTTGACCCGATACATGAGAGAGCCAACATTTGTGAGGTTGAACCCCACTGATCCAAGTCTCATTGGTAAGTAGAAGTCCGTTTCTGATGTTGTTATCAATAGATTAAGAAGAGTATGCTAAAATCAAAACATACACCTTTAAAACTTGTGATAATTTGCCTCCACAGATGAGTTGATTAGTTTACAGTGTATTTGTTTCCAGTATTGATGTGTTTAAAGCATCAGTGATGAATGTAACTTTGTTTTCTTTCTGAATTCCAAAAATATTTCAGCCTTTGAAGAAAAATCTGCCCTGCAGGTTCTTCAGTGCACCATGGGTGCTTGTTTAAATTTGGAGCCTTTGTTTCAGCTGCAGTGACACGTGTTGACAGCAGCAGCGTAGCACTGCACACGTGTTTGTCGAAACCCTTAATCTGATGGTGTTTTTCATTTCATGCCCAGGTCTGAAGCAGTATTACAAAATCGTGAATTGCCATCCGCTGCCCCATAAAACATTTGAGGAGAAAACCCAGCACCTACAGGAGCTGTTCAGCAAGATTCCATTTAATCAAGCCTTAGTCTTCTCAAACTTGCATAGCAGGTAATAAAACTGAAATGCGGTCTGTAGGAAGCATGTTTGGAAGCAGTGGCTGGATAAGTTCATGGATAAACTTACACAGACCTTCTGTGAAAGTCTCAAAGCAGTATGCAGATTCCGCATCTGGAATGCAGCATGGCATGCTGGAAATCAGGGAATGCTTTAGCAGGGAGGTACCTTATACGCTGTTCTGGGACGGTGAGATCTGATGTCCTGTTGTCCTGTTCCATCTGTAAAGTGACTGTTTTAGTTGGAAACGTCAAGTGGCACATCTGGACTGTAATCTGCAGCCTGTTGTTAAGGAATATGCAGGGGCTGTTAGAGCTGCAGTTTTATTTACTGTTTCCATTGTGTGTATTCTGTCAGGGCGCAACATCTAGCTGAAATACTGACAGCCAGGGGCTTTACTGCTGAGTGCATTTCGGGGAAGTCCGTTCAAAACTTTGTGGTTTATGGAAGTTTGTGCTTAAATGTCATCTGAAATAGGAAAATTAATCTTAAATCTTGGTTTGCACGGCCTCTGGTTGAGTAACTAAGAATAGCGTTTGAATCTCCATAGGTCTTCAGGACTTAATCAGTGTAAAACTTAATATTAATTTTCCTCTTTTCAGATTTGTTAGAGAGTCATTTTTATGAATGTCTGGATGAGTGCATTGGCTTATTTGTAAAAGGAAAGTTTACTTAAGTTTGCAGGCTGAAGTAGTGTTTCTTTGGAATGTAAATGTTGAATTTAAATTTCTATTTTTGCCTTCTCTGTAACAACTGGTAGCTGGCACCTAATGTTTATTAGAAACCTTGATTTTTTTTTTTTCTTCAGCTATTTTTTCCATGGCTTATATGTTTACATGAAAGTTATCCAAAGTCAGTGTTGTTTGAGGGGATTAAGTATCTACATAATTGCTCTTTTTTTAAAAAACAAACAAACAAAAAAACCCCCAACAAAACCCAAAGAACTATTTTTGTAATGAGTTTCTTTATCTTCAAGTTCTTGTTTATGCTTGTTTACTCATTTGGAACGGTTGTTTGAGGAAGTAGCTCTCACCCTTGTTTCTGCTCTGATCTGCAGTTTTACAAAGCGCTGTTTACCAAAATTTGAGGAGGGTAAAACTGAAGAGTGTAATCTGTTTCTAATTTTTGTCCTTTTAGGCAGCATGAATCAAAATCAACGACTTGACGCTATGGCTAAATTAAAGCAGTTCCACTGCAGAGTTCTCATCTCCACAGACTTGGTGAGTTCGTGGTTTACAGCACACGTGAGTGTTACACCTGAAGTTGCTTCCCAGAATTAGCTGTGACTGGGAATTGAACAGAACAGAACGGTGCTACTAAAGCGCATGACTTACTTTCATGGTGAAACTTAGAAATTCTCCCCTATTTCTCAATCTGGTTCAAAAGTTACTTTTAGTTTATCTGTTGGTTTGCAGCAGCTTACAGATATTTCAGAGGAGCAGAATTGGTACACACCAGACATCTTTCAATTAGAGCAGTGGTTGTGCTTGAGGCACGCTCAACTTTTTCATGGTTGATGTGTTTTGGTTTTTTCTCCCAGTTGATGGTTTGTTGGTACACCCCAGACATCTGTCAATTAGAGCAGTTGAGGCACGCTCAACTTTTTCATGGTTGATGTGTTTTGGTTTTTTCTCCCAGTTGATGGTTTGAGTCCTGTCATGAAGAGATTACTGCATGCCGTTGGGTTGACTTTTTTTTTTTAATGCTGAGGGAAAAAGGATGCTTGCTGGTGTTTGATACAGAAGGCATAAACGAAATTATCCTGGTTTTCATGGTCCTGAGGCAATGTGCCTATCTTATATGTAAACTGGCTGGGAAACTGTAGGTGCTTTATGGTGTGTTGTAACACCTAAAAGTTACGGTATGAGCAGTGGCTCCCACATGCATTGTGTTTATTTGAAGACCTGCTCAGCATGTTCAGTTACTTATCCCCTTCTCTCTCTCACCTTCTCAAGACATCTCGTGGAATCGATGCTGAAAAAGTGAACCTGGTTATCAACCTGGACGTGCCGGTAGACTGGGAAACGTACATGCACCGCATCGGCAGAGCTGGGCGCTTTGGTAAAAACTGTTGTGTGGATGTCTTGAGCCTGCAGCAGCCTCACTGGCTTTGGTTAGGTAACTGCACTTTCTGTTGTGTGTCACAGGAACTCTAGGCTTATCTGTGACATACTGCTGCCGCGGAGAGGAAGAAAACACAATGATGAAAATTGCTCAGAAATGTAATCTTCAGCTTCTTCCTCTACCAGGTATGCTCTGTCCTCTGAGTATGGCTGGGTTGGTTTTAGCTGTTGTCTGTTTGAAGCTTCAGACATGTCCGCAGGGATCTGACATGTGTTTTCCCTGCTGAAGCTGCATTAAATTTTGGGTTTTGGTATGGGCTTTTCATGCTCTCTGCTAATGACTGCTTGTGTAACTGCCACGGTTGGGTGAAGCAACACTAAATGAACAGAGTGCATGCCCGGGGGCAGGGAGAGGCACTCTGCACCCAGCTGTTACTTCAACAACTTTGTAACTCCTTGGATTTCCAGAAATCTGGTATTAATCCTTTCTCAGGCTGTGAGATACAGCAGGAGGATGGAGTAATTGAAAGAGCAGATTTGCTACCTTTGCTTTGCCAGAAGCTGTGCTGCTAGAAATGCACCATTTAGCTGCTTATGTAAGTTCTGGTTTACTATCTGGTGAAGCAGGATCTGAAAGATGGCTGACGAGCAATGCAGTGCTGCTTGTCTCCATCAATTTCTTCCGTGAAGAGAATGTTCTGGCTGTTTGAGCTCTTTGAAGGATTGAAGGGCGTCGGTTTGTAGCGCTAATTAACGCATCTTAACATCTTACCTGCGATTTTGCTAAGCTTTACTTCGGTACTCATTTTAGCTCTAGAGGGAGGGATGCACTGAACTGAGTTCCTGCTTGTTTCCTTTTTGCAGAGCCCATACCTCCTGGAATGATGGTTCAGTTTGAAGGTGGGGAGGTAGAAGTCAAACCAGTTACACATAAAGGTGCTTCGGTGAATTCTGACACCGTGTGTCTTAGACCAGAGCAGCCAGCACTACAGCCTGTCCAGAACAGTTTTGCAGAGGTACCACGGGCTCATACTAATCTTCCAGGTGATAATTCCTCTGTGGAAAGGCCAAAAAAGGCTCTGAAGCAAAAGCAGAGGAAGTGCACGAGTTCTGCAAATACAGAAGAAGGTAGTAGAAACCGCCAAACTTCCAATTGCCACAAAGAACAGAGGAGTAGAGTCAAAACTGTCTCCAGATCTGATGAACAGCATAACACTCCATCTCCAGATGAGGAGGCCTTAAAAAAAAATCTTCCCAGGATTCCATGCTTGTCATCTTTCAAAACCTATCAGAACAATCCCTGGAGCTTCTCAGAGTTTGTTGAAGACTATGAGTATTTCATTAAAGAAGGGCTGGAGAGAGAGGTGGAAGTTTTCAGAAGCTATTCAGGCCCAGATGACGACCGTGAGCTGCCCAGAAATGGTGATGTAGCATGGAAGGAGGTGGAACATAATCCAGAGGTGGTAGCAAACAGTGGTGTGTCTGGTGAGAGCGATGGGCCGTACAGTTCCAGGGCTTCCTCCAGCAGCAGGGAGAACAACTCTTGCTTTGAGGCATTTTCAGATACGCAGGAGGATGCCGTTCCCACAGTGTGCCAAGGTTACGCAGGCTCCTGTCCCACACCAGAGAAGCCTCAGGAGCTGGCACAAGCCCCCAAGCAAAATCCAGTGAAAAAGAAAGTTCAGAAACAGAATGCTAACCAAAAGAAAAGCTGTTACCATCAATTCCCTGGTCCTTCCACCAGAAAAACTGAAGACGACTGCTCCTGCAGCTCTTGGGGTGATGGTGTTCCGGATGAGGCTCTGAGTTTCAAAAACTACTGGGAATCTTACTGCCAAGCATGGCACAGCTACTACACAGCCGTGTCGCGCTATCAGAAGAGGTGCAGACAGTTGGACTGGCTGAACGCCTACCACGCCAACTCCGTCTACCTTCAGGAGCTGCTGAAAAGCAGTGATTGAGGTGCCAGCAGGCTGGTTGGTACAGCCAACGGCAGTTACCTGTGAGAACAGGACTGCTGGTCTCAGAGTACCTTGGCAAACGGAAACCAGTGTGGTTTCAGACTGAAGGAAAGTGTCTCTTAAAGCGAGCAGTGTCTGGGTAAATGTGTTTTTACGTGCGTTCCAGTGATGGTGGTACAAGTTGTTAATAAAAGGAAATGAAAGACAGCTGGATGTTCAGTTGCAATCATTACAATCCAGAGCAAGTAGAGGAAGATAAAAGGCAGCCACTTACATGTAGAAAGTGTCACTAAGGAGAAAATACAACCCGTTCTCTTTGCTTGACTTACTTCTACCATGTGACTTTGCAGTGAAGATGAATTCACCGTGAGACCACGCAGTTTGTAGTTGGAGTTCATTCCATTTTCCATAATTCTCTTATTAAACACTAGGCACTGATGATATACTAGTTAAGTGGCAGTATAAAACCTGCATCTCAATGCCTGTATTGCTAATTTAAATCCAGTTAATTAATATTGTATAAATAACACTTCTATAGCTAGGTGTACGGCAAGCTGTGCAGTAGAGGATGGTTTAATTAGGTAGAAAATGTGCAGCAATCATAATTGGTCTGTCCCTCTGGGTGCAGCAATATCAGACTTGCCACACTTACAGGAAAGCTTTAATTAGAAATGAAATTACCTATTAGTACTAAAACTAATTGGTATTTCCTGTTTGGGTTGTGCTGCTTTGGATGTCGCTGTCCCGAAGCAGAAGTAGATGAGAGGACTGTCTGGCTAAGGGGCTTGATGCTGAGCTGACTCCACGCTGATTTTGAAACTTCATCCTTTAGCTTTAGTTTGGGATCAAAGAGACACGTTTCTTAAGCAGAATCTTTGAATTTTGCTTTTTTTTTTTTTTCCTTGAGCCAGAGTAAGGCTGGAATCCCCTTAGCAGGGAGGAAGCAGTGCTTTTACTATGAACTGCATGTCCAAGGGGAGCTGCTGCTTTAATTTGGTGATGTGGGTGTCTTTGAGGTTACTTGATTGCTCACCTTCAGCAGCTTTTGTTTTGAGAAGCAGTTATGTTTTCACGCAGCTTACATAAATCCCTTAATGCCCGAGTGTTCCTGCAAAATTCCCTGCGCAAATCCTGCAGCGCTCTCCGCAGCACTTTGGACCTTTTTGCGCAGTGGTGGGTGTGAACTTTATGCTAAGCAAATCAGACTGCTGCGCAGGAGAATTGTGGGGTTGGTGCAGCCTGTGGGTGGCAGGGGCATGCAGCACGCAGGGACAAGCAGGGCTGTCCTGTCTGCCCGGGCTGGTGGCTCTTGCAGCGGGGGAGAGGGGGTGGCCCCTGACTGCAGGAGAGGAAGGTACTCTGGAAGCTCTTCTGTTCAGCTCAAACTTGTGCGTGTTAGAGGACACCCAATAAGTAATTATAACTGCTGCTTAAGGACTTTTGAAAATTGTAAATAATGCCTCTCAATGACCCTTTCTGTTAGGGTTAGGATGAGATCAGCTCTGCGTGTTTCATGGTGGGAAAAGCTGACCCTGTCTGTAGTATAGAATGCAGTTCCTAAACGGAATTGCCAAGATGAGGTTGCTTTTTAAAGGGAAGGTGTGAGATGTGTGCTTTAACTATCTCGTTAGGAGAAGTATTTCCCTTTCCATACTTTTTTCCTTGCCTTAATCCCTTTGTGCCACAGATTACCCCAGGGGGGCGGCTCGCCTAGATTGTGTCTGCGAACTTTGCGGAGGCACAGGTGATGTGATTTTCTTTCCGAGGTGGATTTTGTTGTAACTCCTACTGTTCACCAGGAGGGCACCTTAGGAGATGCACTCGGGTATCTGCCTTACTGCGCTCCTGTCGTGTCCCGGTCATCTTGCTGCTTTCCTTTGGGACTGCGTAAGAGTTCTGAGTATTTAAATGAAACTTGAGCAGCTTAAGCCAACACCCAAAGGTCACCAAAAGAACCTCCCAGAATCTTTTTAGAAGAAATCTACAGCATCATCTTGGTATTTGTGGCACATACTCTGTTTAATCCAGATTGGATACATCAGGTACAGCAGTGGCACAAGACTCAATACTGTAAATGATATACAAGTTTCAACATATGCACTACAATTCCAAAAGAAGACAACAGGAAACTTGGTTCTTCTAGAAAGTTGTTCTCGAATGAAGCTACCTGCAGTTGTGTACAGTACATTTTGTATCTGTCCTCTGATGTTCGGAAGCAAAGCCCATTTATAGTACGAAAATAGAAAATAATAAGGTTGAGAGCTGCTCATAACAAAACTCCTAAAGAAAACACCATTGCATTGGAATGCCTTACTGATTTATCAAAAATAGACCATCGCACGCGTTTTGTAAGATACTTGGTTGGTCCGAGGAGCCAGCGGGAGCTCCCAGTTGTAGTTGCGACAGAACAGAGGAGAGCGTTCGGTGTGCTCGGGAGCGTCTCGCCCAGACGGCTGCGTGACTTCTGTGACTAGCACTAGATCAAACCGAAAATAAACATCTGCACACATACACACACAAAGTAACAGACTGTCGACTGAGAACAGAACTCAAGAAGGAATTTTCACAAGCGCTTTGTCACCTGGTCTTTTGACTGATCCACCTGAAGCGTTTCTGGCACAGTTTCGCGTTCTGAAGGTAAGCAGCAACACTTCCCTGGTACGCTTTCTCAAGAATTCTCTGTGGTGTTGTAGGTGTTCATGGATTGAGCTTCGCTTATTGACAGAGGAGGTATTAAATTTATACAGCCCGCGTAATTGGCAAAGAGAGGTGAGATGACTTCTTCGAGGTCACTTAGTGATTCATCAGGACGATGGGGATAGAACACAGGTTCCTGATGCTAACTCCTAGCTGTAACCAAGGTGCACGCTGCCTTCTGTTGGCTCTTAAGGGTTTAGAAGGATAAAACCGTTGAGTGTTTATGGCGTCATTAAATGTGAAGCCTAAAAACTTGAGCTCTGAAGTCATATATCTAGTGCAGTTGCTTAAAGTGCTGGAGAAAAATAAGTGCTTAAAAACCCCAAGACATATTTGATTGGTAAATAATGTGGAAAAGGTGTAGTATTCACCTAACTTTAAAAGCAGAATCAAGTTTTCGGCTCCAAGCTGCTGATGCTCGCAAGCCATCCATGAATGCTGACTGTAACTGCCATAGCCTGGCACAGGAAAATATTACAGGATCCAAGGGCTTTTTGCAACCCAGAAATGAAATGTGATTTGTAATATACTGAATTTGCTCTACAGTGTAAGATACAGCGTGTTTACAACCTCTACTTAAAAAAGGAACGTACTTGAAGAAACAGTGCTTCCTGTAGCTGGCGTTAATCTCATTTTCATGCGTGCCCCTTAGGCTGTCTAAGCTGGAAGGTGAATGCGGGTTGGCAGTACTGGTACGGCGTCAGCTCTTTTGGGTTAAACAAGCAGCGTTGGTTCAAATTTGGTACTTCTGACAAGGATGTATTTTGTAGCATCCTCAACTTCATTCCACAGTAAAGCCATACGTGTTGCTTTACCTTTTCCCTGGTTTGCTTTGATAATTATCTGACAGACAAACTTAGTCTCTGGGGTAGGAGTTTGCCGTGGAAGGTTTTATGTTCCTCTTAGGGTTGTAGGCAGGTAACTCGCAATGTGGAGGGTGATTTAGGGTGGTGCCAGGGAGTGTGATGGCAGCAGGAGAGGGAAAAATAAGGAAAGAATTATGGCTGAACAGCAGAGGAAAAATCCTTGACGCTGAGATTTATGAGCCTGGAATAAGCCCTCCAGGGAAGTGTGGGAGTCCTTTCCTTGGAGAGTTTTAAATCTGACCTAAGGAAAGCAAGGCAATGTGTTGCAGTGAAGGGTCTGGTGCTAGCGGAGGATGGGTTACGTTTTTTAATTCTTTAGTGTTTACGTACCCAGGTGCTATCTGTAGCCTGTTCTTGGTGGATGCCCTTTAGATTTTTAAGGAAAAGGAAAGTAAAAGGTGGATTTTGGAAAGAGCAGATGGGAAGTCAAAGCCTAGATATCAGAGGTATTTATTTCTCATCGTTCTTTGCCAATTGATGCGATTCCTTCTATTAGCAGCACGATGCTGGGTGAGAAGAGAGCGACTCTATTAATGGAACATGCTGGAAAGCTCTGAAAATATTTTTCGCGCAGAAAAAGCTTTGGAAAGGAAACAAAATGCTTGGAAAAAGGTGTTGCCCCTTTGATATTTTAAATATTGCTTTATGAAAGACAAAAATAATCCCCTTCTACTTACTTTTTGTACAAACTATCAATTTTAATCTTTTTAATGAACTTTTCTAAAGCTGTAAAAAGTGGTAAGGAATTAGGGGGAGGGGCAAGGCTTTGGAAATGAACTGCCAACACTACTGGCATTTGTTGAGCAGGTCTGGTTTGTACCACCTGCCTTTCAGACAGGGATCAGGGCCAGAACCTACCTATGTTTCTGGGTGCTTCTCCTCCCAGGGAGGAGGATGCCCCATTCCATATGCATCAGGATTGCAGGGGTGTGTGCTGGTTTGTGTCCCTATCAATGTGTGTGTGTGGCCCTGAGGAAGGGGAGGGGGATGCTGGTCAGACAGGGCGGTACTGGGGACCGCTGGAGAGGATGGTCCAAATCCTTCTTGTAAGTGGCTGTTTAAAGATTACAAAGAGCCCTGCAGTTTAGTAAAGCTAATCGCCTCCCTCGGTTGTAGGAGGAAGTGGCTGCAGTGCAGTTCCCACGCTCTTCTGTGCAAATGCTTTCCCTTCTTCCCTGCGTTTCTTTTGGAGGGAGCTATGTTACGCCCTACCAACTGCTGATACGTCAGCCATGGCCTTGTCTCAGCCGTTTCAGTGAACGCACAGTGCTCTCATAATGAGGATGTAGCTGTGCTGGGCAATCCAGGGAGGTTTTGTACAAGCGTGTTTCAAGTGCTTTCAGAAGCATTACTCAGTGTGCTTCAGATCCGTGTGTAAAGGGAGCTAATACCTCCACCAGATGTATTTTTAGCCCTGTTCCTCTAGGCTCATACTTC